TATATATATATATATATATATAATGTTGAATGCGTTGCTGTAAGAATAATGTGAGTCTTATGAATGAATCATTGTGATACCGATATTCATCATATCGTTTACTTTCCTTGTTATGTATTAAAATATGAGTTAATCACCTATACACTGTCAGGATAAAATTTTTTATACTGGCAATCAATTATATTTTTTAATTGTGTCATGTCACTGTTAAAAATAAATGTGTTTATAGTGACATGCCACAATTAAAAGATATAATTGGTTGCCAGTGTAAAAAAACTTTACACTAAGAGTGTATAGGTGATTAACTCTTAAAATATACTCAAGTTTGGATCCCTTATATGACATTTTTGTTTGGTAAAAATCAGTTTTTAACTAAAATTAAGAAAGATAAAATTTAAACAATAAAAGAATGCAAGACATTAGGCTTTGATAGTGAAAATTTTCAACAAAGATAATTGAAAATCCCAATTAAAAATAAGTAAAGATATGCATAACAATTTATTCAACATCAGTTTTTTTATCTGTCTTTCTACCGAGCATTTGTTAGTCCTTCTGTTCCAATTGAGTACAATTTTTACATTTGGAGAAGGGTCTTGTTAATGAGATGACAAAATAATTGACTCTCTAACGTAAATCTTAAATTATGATTTTTTTTAAAAAATAATAACATCTTTTAATAGATAAATAAAAACATTTTAAAGATTCATCTTAAAAAAAATTATATTTTTATATCTTTTAGAAATAAATATTTTAAAGTGAATTTTTAAGAATACAAAAAGTAACTTTTAATTTATGAAACTTTTTTAAAAAGTATATAAAATTTAATATAAAATATTTTTTTTTGAGCAAACCTAAAATGAGATTTTTGTGGGCCTTATTTTTAGATCGACCTAGGTCGTGGGCTACGAATTGACCTCGTATTTCACAAAATAAAAAAGGTCGGTCGGAGTGGACATTTTAGCCCGCCAACCTCATGAGCTAAATGGTGGGTTATGACGGATTATTCCACCAACCGTTTTAATTCAATATTTTTTTTTTATTTTATAACTTATGATATGTGTCACTTTGTATTATAGTATAGTCTTATTATTTAATGACTATTAGTACATGTATTATAATTCTTAAGGATTATTATAATTGTGTTGTTGAAAGATTATTAGTAGTCATATTGATTGAAAAAGAAACTTTTAATAATTTTTAATTTATTATTTTTTGTGTTGTAGTCTTAAAGTTGAAGGTCAAATTTATGATATGGGTCATTTGATTAAATTTGATCACTATTGAAAAAAAAAAAGTTGCCAATTTGAATTAATAGTAAAATAAAAAAATATTTTGGCAGGCTAACCTACCAATTTGCCTTTAATCGAGATTGACCAAGATTTTCAATCTGCCTTCATCTAGTGGGTCAACTAGCCTCGTCCCATTTTTCGTAGGCCAAAATGGATCCTGTCAACTTGTTTTGCCACCCCTACTTATTAACTAGTACCCTAAACAAATAATTTTTTTTATTGAAATTTATAATAAAGTTACACTAGAGAATGTGTAAATACATATTTTAATATAAAAAAAATTCTACTTTTGATTCCTTAACCATTATATCAAGGACACCGGTTAGCATTGTCTAAAAATGATTCATATTTTAACTTTTTAATGTAATTGATCCTATTTATAAGCAACATAGGATAAATCATTACAATTAAAAAAGTAATTAATATGGTTACTTTTAATAAATGGAACCAAAAATTTAAGTTTTATTCCAAATATAACCTTGTACTTCAAGTGATTGTCATATTTGATGTTAGTTATAAGTAGGGGTGGGTAGATGGACCCGGGTCCGCGGACCGGTCCGTAAGCCCGCGGATTTCGCGGATAACGGACCCGTTTTTTTCAAATCCGTATGATTATGTCTAATTTTTGAGCCCGGTCCGTTAAGGCCGCGGACTTGGCGGATTTAATCCGCGGGCTCACGGGCTAGTCCGCGGACTTCACATTTAATATTTTTAAATATTATGATTTTAATATTAAGTTGTGTATTTAATTTTTTAAAATTATTATGACATTAAAATTATGTTTAGTTGGTATATATTTGTCATTTGAATGATTTTTATGACATTTTGATGCTTTTATTATTGAAAGTTTGCTACTATTATTTAAGTATTTGTAATTATTTTTATTTTAATATTTTAATATTTAGTATTTTAAACCATTTTAACTATTGATAAATTTTAGTATGATAAAATTTAGCTTATAAATAAAAAATATTTTTTTCTTCTAATTTTATGTATTTTTATTTTTAAAAAATTTATTTTTTTGAACCATTATTTAGGCCCGCGGACCGGTCCGTTATCCGCGGACTTTGGCGGGCCAAATACGGACTTAAAAAATAAGTCCATTTATTTTACGGACCGGACTTATCCGACCCGTATAAAATGCGGGTTTTACGGACCGGGCCTTAAACAGGCCGGACCGGTCCGTATACCCACCCCTAGTTATAAGTGAATGCACAAAAAAATAGAATTAACAATAAGTGAAGGATATAAAATAAATTTAACCCTAATAACTTTAAAAATTAATGATTGTTACTTATAATTAGGATAAAAAAAATCTAATTTATTGTTTATAATTAGGATCATAAGTAGTATTAACTATTTTCCTCCCTTAATTTGTCCTTTTGTAAATTACTCAACAACCAAAGTTAAAATAATGTATTTATCGAGAGAATAAACCTATTTTATTAAAATTATATATAAAAAAGTGATATTTTTTTCTTCTATTTTTCTTAGTCACTCCTATATATAAAACATAAGCTACTACCTTGTGTAAGAGCAACTTTAAGAATTTTTCTTTGATGAGAAAATTTTTTAAAATCCTTTTAACTTCATATTTAATACAATTTTTATCTATCATAATTATTTATAAATTAATTTTTTATATTTTAAAATAAATATCAATAAATAAAAATAATATACTATAATATAAATTATTCATCATAAATTTAAAATATAATTTATATATTTAAAATGATTTATCTATTCAAATTTTATATAATTTATATATTAAAACATAATATTTATTT